ACAACAAGAGACTTCCTGTGCCCTCAAATTATACACAGCTAACATCGGTTACGGTGAGGTTGGGATGACGTGGACAGATTTATCAAGTTTGTCCTAGTATTAAAGTTATGAGGTATTTGGATGCTGAAATACAAACACTTGGTTTATTGGATGGAGATCGAGGTGATAATGTTGCTAAAAGCAAACTAAGATGGACCTGTGGGTCTAGCTGCATAATTGGAATGGGGGTGCTGCTCCTTAGTTTTATAGGAAATGTGGTGGTGAGAACAAGGGTTTGGGTTTAAACGAAAGACATCTGAGGTGTGTGAGCCAGTGGAGACGGGGCATCAAGCTGGGTGCCTCGATCTGCACCTAGGAGGGACCTGACATATAATCAGTGCAGGGCCAGGTGGGTGAGTCCTATTGGGAGAGCATAAATACGGATACTGGAGTGGGGTTGGATGAACGCAACATTTAGAGTTTTGAGAGCAAAAGATGAAACTGCAGGAGAGACAGTAATAGTAAGTATTTTTATTCTGATAGTTTTACTGCCAAGTTCTTTGCATTAATGGAGGGAGATGCTCATAGTTAGCGGTACCTGCACGTGGAACCCAAAGCAGCCATGGAGGAAGGATGAGCTTAGGGGCTGAGGGAGATATTCCATGGGGTATAAGAGGGGAGAGAGGGAGCAGGTAACAGAACAGGCTGGCTTTTGGTGTGCATGCTGTGTATTTAAATGCTGCACAGGTCTGAGGGCTTCTATTTCCTCCACACAGTAGGCGGGCCCAGAATGATACCAGACAAGGACTACGGGACCCCTGGGAAACGGTCCCTCTCCTCCCCATGATCCCACAGTGAGTCAGTTCCTCGGCTCTGCCTGCTGGGGACACGTGCTTCCCCAGTGACCTCCTCATCACAGCCTGCCCAGTCCCACATGAGGACCTTTCCCAGTTCTCATCACCACCCACTATCGCTTTCTCAGGCTTGGCCCCTGTGGGAAACACCAGTCCTCAGCCATGTTGTTCTGTAGCCAGCTGTCTCGTGGGTCTGGAGTTCCAGGATTTGAAAACACAGAGCTGCGAGGAGGCTCCCTGAAGATGAGACCTCTGGTGCACTTAGCCAGTCCTGATCGTAGGTACAGATTGGTCTGCTCAGTCTTGCTTGAGTCCCTGTTGTCTTGCTGGGGTTTGCAGAAGTAAATGACATGGGAATTTATAATCACAGTAGAGTCCATCCTATTATTAAAGTAATGGTGATGTTTCGTGGGACAGGTAAATTATGTGTAATTCCGATTTTTCTTGTCAAATATGGAAATGAGCTATTCCTAGATGCAAGTTGGTGTCATACAATTCAAAATACAACATCAATAGTTTAAAACTAAATATTCTTTTCTAAGTGCACCATAGACAGTGGTGACAACAGGGTGGGTACAGAGGCAGACAGGTGCACCGGTAGACAGAAACAGGTCTGCTCAGCCCTGCTGGGTGGGCGACTTCTCTGCTGGTACATCCATGAAGGGGAGACGCATTTCCCTGGAACTGGAGGGTCAGCAGGATGAGATTTGTGTGCGCAGAGGACACCTGCTGGGCCTCTGACTGGGCACTCCACTGATCAGCTGGGCAGCTTCCAACCTGGTCTTGAAGCTCCTGAGCAGATGCTGATCCTGATCATTTCACCAGCCGGGAGAGCACAGTGACGGACCAGTCCATCTGGGAGACACACGGGAGCAGCCGAACGCTGGCTGCAGCTGGATCACGCCCAGGTGAGAGAAGACGTGCTCCGTCATCCTCTGGCAGCCTGTCCCAAAGCTCCCCGTGTGGGCCGCTGAGGGGTGCAGGCCCTGCAGCATATGCCGTGGAAGGGTTGGGTCACAGCCCGGACCTCAGGTGGCTGCTCAGCTGGGCACAGGTGCAGGTGAAGAGTGCCTTGCATGCATCCCGGACGCTGCTGTTCCCGCCGTGCTTGCCCACAGCCTGGGCTCAGCTCCAAGCAGGGAGCGGCGGCCGCAGGGCATGCAGGTGCCTCTGGCCACGCTTGAGCTTTGTAGGCATCATCTCATGCTCAGCACATCCTCTGGGCTCCTTCTGTCTGAGGCTTTGGCCATGGTCTTCTGCAGGGACCTCTTGTAAGCGAAGAGGGGAGATCCTTAAAGGCATCTCCCGGCCAGGATGTTTCCAGGTGCGTCCTTGACCCCCCTTCTCTCCCCGGGACCCTCTCACTGCTGCTAGTTCCACAGAAATGGATGTGATCCTCACATTTCGTGGGACCCCATTTGGGGGGCTGGGCAGGGGGAAGCAGCCCCTTCTCCAGGGAGACTTTTCCAGATACTGTTGCAGGACGTGGCTCAGGCTGCACTCTCGCTTCTGTCTGGAACACGGTTGCTTTATTGGGCTTGTCTGACACCTTCCCAGCCCAGCCAACCCGCTGACCCCCTGACATGAGCCAGTTCTTCTTTCCCTTAATACTTTATATGCAGAAAAACCGAAGACAGAGTAGAGAGAGTGTGACCATGACACTGGGAAGTGCCTTCATCCTCTCCAGGCAGCGCTCGGTGATACAGCAGTGTGCACACAGCCCCATGGGGCCGGTGTCGCCTCGGTCCTGTGTGCCTCCGTCTCCACAGTGACTTAAGGTTTTAGTAGACCTACGCAGATGTGAACTTTAGGTCAGTGTGGTCCCAAGATGCACATAGAGGTACTCTGAGGATATAGGATGGACACTAAACTTGGCCAGTTTGGGGGTGGGGGAGAAGGGGAGACGAGTGACAGAGTCCTGGAGGGCTGTGTGTGTCTTCCCAGGCAGAGGCTGCACATGGCTTCCCAGTAAGGGGCTGGAGCTTTCCCCTGTCACCGTGGCAGTGAAAGAAAAGGCGCAACCGAGCATCAGGACAGCGAGGGACAGCACGTGGCTTGGTGTGGGGGGTGGAGAGCGAGGTGTGCATGTCCTAGCGGGGTCCACAGGCTGCTGGCTGCGTGTGTGTGGCACGGACGGTGGTTGTTCCGGTGACTGAGTGAGAATGAGGCAGAGTTTGCATCTCACTACCTTGTCCTTCAGCGCAGAGCAAACTATTGTTTTCCTCATCATTTTTCCTATTCTTTAACTCAGTCAGTGCCATACAGTCACGTGAGGTAGGCTGAGTCAGTCACATGCAAAGGCGTTACTATTTCTCGTTTATTAACCTGGTTTTTAAAGTCTTTCACAATCTAAACTGCAATTATTCATTTTGAGATCTTTATCTGTCTTCCTTCTTGCACCACTTACTGTCATTTTAAGAACCCACAAAGAGGACCGACTTCTTGAATTTCACATGGTTTTATCCTACTTCAAACTGCTCTCCTTGCTGTTGATTTTGTGTTGGTGAAAAGCCTCAGCTTCTTCCCACTGTTTCTGAGGTGTGGTCTGCCCATTCTCTCCAGGGACCATGCGTGGATGTCTGCTTTCCCTGTCCTCGTAACTCTCCTCAGGGTTAGAGGACCTCTCCTCAGAGCAGAGCTTCCTGGCACACACACAGATGGGCACGAGAAACACTGGGAAGGATGCAGAAGGGCGAGCTGCAGGAGTAGGGTGGATGATCACAGCCCGCATAGGGTGCCCAGGTCCAACCCCACCGCTGCTGCAGCCTTGCCAGGAAGCGCCATCCTGACACTGTATCTGAATCAGATACAGACTTTTCAGAATGAAAATGTACTGTTTTTCACATTGCCCTTTTGTGCTCATTGTGAAAACAAAGTAAAGCATAGGGTCATCTTGTACCAGCTCACCTCCCTTTCCATTAGAAAGCATGGCTACATTTACTGCTGAATTCTCAACTGCTTTCCTCCAACGGATTTCCAGGTCATATCCTCACGTCAGTGGTCCCATCCATGCCACGTAAGCCTGACTCACCCGGAGAGCTTTGGACTGTCCTTGCCCGGCTCTCCCTCAGAATGTCCTCCTCCACCCGTCCATCTGTCAACACGAGACCATCATTCCGGAATAGAAACTGAAAGCTTCCTTCTGCTGCTGGTGTGGAGGTTGTGACGTGGTCTCATTGCTTGTGAAGGCAAGTGAGGAACTTTATTCCTAGAGTTTTAATAAATTTATCTAAGAGTCTTTAAAAAGCACATTGTAAGTGCTTTTATGATACTGACATTACTTGAGCTCTTTACTAATATTGTATATAATTTTTGTGTAAATGTTTTCTGACTTCTAAAGACTTTTAGCCTGTCTGTCTAAACAACATCGGAGCAAATACAATATACCTTAAGAGCACTTTTCTATTTCCTGGCTGTTTAATCAGTGGGTGAGCTTGTACCAGTATGACAGGATTTGGATTCATGTCACATATTTTGCTTCTCCACAGTGCTTTTCCATTTCTTGCTAGTCGCTGCTAACCTTGTCCCCATGTAAAAATGATCCTGTATGCCCTCTCATGCCCACCTCACCCACCCAGAAAGGCTTGGATTCAATAGCTTCATTAATAAACACCTCTCGTTTGGAAATAACCTTTTTTTCATATATTATTTTTCAAGGCCTGTTTGAAAAAATATTTATTTTGTTCTGCTCTCAGCTATCCTTTTAGCATTTATATTATTCACTAACTATTCATGTTTGTTTTATCTTAAGGTGGACTGTAGACTCATGGGCCCTCTTTCCCCCTTCTCTTGAAGCCGTGATCACAGAGGTGAGTATAACCTGTGGCTGGGTGTGAGGGGGTGGGAACGTCCTACCCACATTTGTACCTATGACCAGGTTGCACAGAGCTTTTTGCACAAGTTTAAGCCTGTGGAGATGCTATTCCCTTCATTAAGAGGTTCTCATCTTGCACAGGGGCGTGTGGCCGGACAGCCTCTGCACATGCGCTGTGATTGTCGTTTACGCTGAGTCTCAGACAGCTCCACAGCTGAAAGCACCCATGATTCCCACAAGCGACTCACTGGACCGGAGCAGAGGCGCATGGCTTGATGTCCCCGGTCAGCAGCACCGGCGGAGGAGATAAGCAGCCTGGACGTGTCAGCACCAGCCACCGTCTCCTCTCTCACCTCCCCTCACTCGGGAACCAAAGGTCCCACTTGGGATGGGGAGGGCCAATGACAGCACCCCACCCGGCTTCATCCTCCTGGGCTTCTCAGACCACCCCGACCTGGAGCCAGTGCTCTTCGTGCTTGTCCTCCTCTGCTACCTCCTGACCCTGGCGGGGAACATCACCATCATTGTGGTCTCGTACCTGGACCCCTCTCTGCACATCCCCATGTACTTCTTCCTCAGCAACCTGTCCTTCCTGGACCTCTGCTTCACCAGCAGCCTCGCCCCTCAGACCTTGGTTAACCTGCGGGGACCGGGGAAGACCATCACGTACGGAGGCTGCGTGGTGCAGCTCTACACTTCCCTGGCCCTAGGCTCCACTGAGTGCGTCCTCCTGGCCGTGATGGCCTTGGATCGCTACGTCGCCGTCTGCAAACCCCTCCACTACGCGGTCATCATGAGCCCCCGGCTCTGCCATCAGCTGGCCACAGCCTCCTGGCTCAGCGGCGTGGCCAATTCCCTGGTCCACGCCACCTTCACCTTGTGGCTGCCTCTCTGCGGTAACCGCAGGCTGGATCACTTCATTTGCGAGGTCCCTGCGCTCCTCAAGCTGGCTTGTGTGGACACCACGGTCAACGAGCTGGTGCTTTTTGTGGTCAGCATCGTGTTCCTCATCCTCGCCCCTGCGCTCATCCTTGTGTCCTACGGCTTCATAGCTCAGGCTGTTCTGAGGATCAAATCCACAGAGGCGCGGCACAAAGCCTTCAGCACCTGCTCCTCACACCTGACGGTGGTGGTCATCTTCTATGGCACCATCATCTACATGTACCTACAGCCCAGGGACAACTATGCCCAGGACCAAGGCAAGTTCATCTCTCTCTTCTACACCATGGTGACCCCTGCCTTGAACCCCATCATCTACACCTTAAGGAACAAAGACGTGAAAGAGGCTCTGAAGAAAATTCTCTGGGGAATGCTGTGTCTCCACTGCACTCGACATGCGAGGAGTTGATTCTAAGCCTTGGTGTCACTCAGCTGGATTCACCAAACCCGCTGCTCTAAATTCCACACCAACTGATTTGCCACCCACTTATTTGCCATTATGATGGATTTGTTCTCTGCCTTGCACAACTGAGCAAACTGTGCATGTGTGCGTGTCAGTGGAAAGCTTGGGCAGGGAAATCGATGTGTATGCATGCATGCTGTGGTCCTTACTGCAGGGCCATGGTTCACTTCTGACACAGATTCTTGGATTGTCAGAGATTTAGCAAATTAGATTGTTAAAATTTTACCAGCTGTTTCTCTAGGAAATGAGGCTTTCATTTTTAAAAATTTTGGTGAAATGTTCCATTTTCAGTGAAATAAACAGTTTGCAGTTGCTGTCTAGTGCACCCCATTAAAGTGTCACACTGGAAAATAGGCAATTTCTACCGTGATCTCTCTACCACAGCAGAACAAATACCTGCTAATGCTCCCATTAAAGTGGGCATCATAGCAGCTATTTGTTTTCATAAGTCATTTCTCATCTACAGATATATTTTAAAAATTCAGTAGGGGATAAGAGCCACCAAATAGTCTGGCCATACTGTGTCTCATGACTTAGTAGGGCATCCCTTTCTGTGGACTACAGGTCACTGTACGCATCACAGATTTAAGCTCCTTGGAAGAAAAGATAAGTTGATATTAATGTTACAGCAATGAGAAAAATTGAAATGGAAAAGACATTGCTTTTTTCAAAAAGTAGCTTTCTTGAGATGTAGCCACACACCCAGGAGTGTGCATCTATTGTTCTCAGTTGGATGAGCTATGAGGATCACATGACCTAAGAAAGGGCCGCCACCGTCATGGTCCTGCTGTCCTTGGGCAGTGTCCTTGTGCCTGCTGCTCTTGTCCTGTGAGGTCGCCGTGTGAGCACCACCATCCGGCAGTCTAAGTGCACAGCATGAGCAGCAGCCCTGCACCTGCTGGACAGCAGAGCCCCACGGCTCCTCCCTCAGGGTGGACACTTTGCCTCAGTCCCCAAATTACCCGCCTCCTCTTCCTGCTCAGCTTAGTGACAGGGCCTGTTGTCCGCGTGCATCTCCACACCTACCTTATCTTCTTCACTCAACATCGCGTATTCCAGGTTCATCCACATCGTTAGGTGAAAGAATTCCTGCTTTCTCCCAGCTGCATCATCCACTGTTCTTGCACCCCTTTCCTCGTACCCTGTGTATTTTGGGGAGGACATTTGCATCCTCTCTGCATCCCCCCTGCTGGTTTCCGCCTTGGCTGGGCTATTTTACCGCCCTACCAACAAGGCATGGGCTTCAGTTTCTCTGTGTCTGGGATGATGTTGCCTAGCTCTCCTTTCTCTATCTCTTCTGCTTGACTGAGTTTGGTGTTGAAGCCCATGCTGACTTATTCCACGTGACAAATGCATTCTTCACTCACAGATTTGCTGTTGGATTTTTTGCTCTCTCCTTGTTGATATTTTCATTTCAGTGATGCTTTAGTCCCTGCCTTTTAGTTGTCTGTCTTTTCCTTAGCTCACTGGGCTTCTTGAAGATGGTTATTCCGAATTTTCTGTGACTAATCCACAGATCTCTGTTTCTTCAGCTCAGTCCCAGGGGCCCTGCCTTGTTTCTTGGGTCGTATGGCCTTTTTCTGGTTTCCATGTTCCCTGCAGCTTTGCATGGGAAACTGCCTGGTGAAGGGCCGGGTGCCTCTTTTCCTACTGGCTGATGGGGCAGTGCCTGCACCGGCCACAGGCTGCAGACCCAGGCGCCTCTCCTTCCTGTGGGACCACCGAGGTCCTCTCCTTCTCCTGGCTCCCTGGCCATGACTTTGCCTGGGACAATGGGGCCTGCTCTCCCCACCCTGACTGCATGGGGTAAGGTTCCTATATGGTGCTCTTTCTCCAGTGTGTCTAAGTGATCAGCAGCACGGTCCTTCTCCAGTGCTGTCTCTGGAAGACCTGGGTGGGTGCAGTGCTCAGCCCCCTCCAGTCTCCTCTTCTCTGGGGCCGGGTTGTTCTGCCAGCACCAGGCGCGGCCAGGCCCTGTGTCCTGACGCTCTGTAGTGAAAGGCTGAGTGCTGTGCCACACTCTTCACTTTCATAAAAAATACCAAGAGGCTGGGAACAGTGCTCTGCAGGCCACTGAGGGCCCTTACTCCTCTCTCGCTCTTTCCTGCCCCAGGCGCTGGACGCCCTGTGCGGGTGGGAGATAACAGAAAACAGCACTGAGTCAGCAAAGCAGTCTTCAGCAGGAAGACTGAAGCTGGGGCAGCATACTACTTCACTTCACACCGTATCACAGTTTATAGCAAGTAAAATAAAACAGCATGTACTGGCATAAAAACAAATATACTGACAAGTGGAGGGGAATGGAGCCTCTAAGTGAAGCTACACATTTGCAGTTCAGTGATTTTCAGTAAAGTTGTAAAGAACACAGAATGGGAAGAGGATGGAGTTCAGTGAAGGTGTTGGGGAAACGAGACACCCAAATACAGAAAAGCGAACTTGAACTCTTACACCCTGCCCCAAATATTCAAGCAAAGTGGATTAAAGACTTACACATAAGACTTGAGACTGAAGATCCTGGGAGACAACAGAGAGAAACCCCCTTGACACTGGTCTTTGTGGAGCTGTTTTTTAGACAGGATATTAAAATCCCAAGCAATAAAAGCAAAAATAAGCTAGGAGAGCTACATCAAGTAAAAAGCTTCTGCATAGCAAAGAGAAATAATCAACACAGTGAAAGACACCTTATGGCATGGACGCACACTTACCATCATATATCTGGTAAGGAGTTATAGCTGAAACGTAGACGGCACTCATGACTCAACAAGGAAAAACAGAACAAGAAACAGGATGCATCAAACTTTGTCCCGAGGGGTGACTGTTACAGAGAAAAATGCCTACACTGAAAACAAAGAAAGGTAACTACACACAACCGAGCTGTACACCTCAAGGAAACGCAAAAAAGGAACACATTCAGCACACAGTTATCAAGATAAAGAGAATAAAAATGACTAGTGCCTAAATAAATAAATAAAAAACAACTAGAAAACAAAATTGCTATACGCCTGCCAGGATCTGCCAAAATGAGGCCATTAAACTGTGTAATCAATTACCAAAAAAAAGACTTTTGACAACAGAAAACAAAGTATCACTTGTTAACCCAATAAAATGGCACCATTTTGAAGAGAACTATAAAAGCCCCCAAATCAGTAATCCAACATAACTTGAAGTTATTAATATCTGAAACTGGTCTTTTTCAAGACATCTGATAAACAGTGGAAAAATATTTAACATACACACAAAAGAAAAATAGAGCCAGAAGTTTATTTTTTAAAGATAAATGAATCTGGCTAGACTAATAAGGAAAAAGGAGAAGACTCAAAGAATATAGTTATAAACAAAAGACGCATCACAACGGATACGGCTGAAAGCAAAGAACTCTGTTCATATACCCCAAACTGGGTAGCTGTAGAAAAGCAAAAAATTATCAAGACTGAATCAGAAAAGAATGGAAAATCTGACCTGTTCAATAATGATAAACAGGGAGATTGACTTTCCAGCAAAGAAAACCTAGGACTATATGACTTTATCAAGGAACTCTTCCAGTGTGCAAGGAAAGGTAATATAAGCCCTTCTCAAACTCTGCCAAAAACTAAAGAAATGGGGCCATTTTGAAGGTCATTATGTGAGATCTACTTTGCTGAGAACCAAAGATAAACAAGGACACTACAGAAAGGCAAATTACAGACACATGTTCCTGAAGACTAGAGATGGAAAGTCGACATCAAAACACTAGTAAACAAAATTCCACAGCGCACTGTGTGACTCAGACCGCAGGATCCAGGGGGACTTAATCCCGAGGTGCTAAGATAGCTCAGCGCTGCAAATCAATCATCCGGACACAAGGTGCGGCAAGGACAGAGCGAGGGATGAAAGGAGCGAGGAGGGGAGGCCAGACTTTGATGTGACAGCCCCAGAGAGCAAGCACGCAGCCCGACTCTGGCTGTGAGAAGAGTGCGGACCCAGCGCCCACCGAGCCGCAGGTCGCTGCAGTGCTGAGACAAGAGGTGGGGCACCGGGCAACCCGGGAGATGCGTGCACACACGGGGCCACAGACCTGAGAACGGCCCTCGGCGTCCTCGTGCCCTCATGCTCATGCAACGCCCTGAGAAACCCTGGGGGGAAGATCACGTTAAAGCACGTGTGGATCTTGTGCAAATCCCCCTCTGCACCGTAGCTGAATTTCATCCTGACCCTTTAAAAAGAAAACAGTGAACAGTTAATGACATTCTTTCACTGGTGGGGCTTAAAAATAAAAGAATTCTGTGTTGGGAGTTTCTCCATCTGTGGAGGAGCTGCTCTGTCTATGGGCTGCTTTGCTCTCTTTCCTGGGGATGTCCAGGAGCAGTCAGCATGGTTTTTCCTACTAAATTTTCATTTTACTTTGCCCTATAGCTAGTGCATGTCATGATTTCTGTATGATCTAGACAAGGACTAGCCAGTGACAAGACAATTGATTATTTTCATATTTTTTACTTTAAAGATAAAAATAAAAAAATAAAAAAAGATCAATAGCAAAATACCAACAACATAGACAAAAACAAAACAAAGCAAAAACAACAAAAATGATACAGGGTTTCAGAACAAAATGACAGGAATTCACCAATGGTTGTTATGTCGCGTATTGTTGTCTTCAGCCAGGTTGCTCAGATTACCAGATGTAAGCATGCAAAATTGGTCAAAAAGAAAAAAATAGGCATCAACTGTTCCTTTCAGTAAACCATTAGACATCAGCTGTACAGTTATCCCAGCTATCCTTCTATAGACATATATATTTTCTCCCCTTCTTTCTTTTTCTCCTTTCCCTCATCCCAGTTGTTCCTTTGAGCAATTTCTTTACCTTTCATGATATGTTTTGTATGTTTTGAAAACTCACTGTCTTTTCACAACCAAAATGACTAAATAAATTGGTTGTTGGAGGGAAATATGCGGCATTTATTATGGGCCAAGAATGAGAAGTCCGCAGCTAAGATTACACTGCATGGTTGAAAGCTGAAGTTCTTTTTTGAGTTTTACCATCGAAACAAAGTGAACCCGCTCAACGCTTGTACTCGATATATGACATGGTGTGAGATACAGAAAACTGTAAAGACTCCTCCCAACCACAGGCAGAGTTAATGGAGAAGTCAGCCAAGCAGAGCATGCACAATTAGCCACGAAACCACGGCCTTTCTTTACGTTAACAGTGGACAATTGTTCTGAAATCTTTGTTAGAGAGTTCATGGATCGGCACTCCTCTGGGATCAGCTACTCGAAACTTACGGTCGCAAAGGCAGAGTGTGTGTGTACCTGCACGTGCGTGCATGTGTGTATGTGTGTGTGTGTGT